ACAAATTTTTTTAAAAATTAACCTACTATACCATATATTTATACATACGTACATTTTATTTAATTAATATTATTTTTATTATTAATGCAGTAGCAAAAGGATAAAATTGTATAGATGATAGGAGATTGTGTTTTAGTATTTATTCAAATAACTATAATATAAGAAGAACAGGAACAAATACTATCATTAGCAAACATGATTCCAAAATGTGATATAGTTAAAAATGAGCTCCTTTCAAAATAATAGTAATCTATATAAAAATAGCATGTTGCGCAAAATTTATCTGTTTATCTTTCTATATTCATATAGTTGAATTAAGACCATAAAAAACACCAAAACATTAAGTTTATGTACTATTCATACGACATATACAGAATCCAGGCTAAGTCACAATTTTATAGCATATAATTCGCTTTTTTTTTTTTTTTTAATTTTCTAGTCGTTACTTCGAAATTGTTTAAATGCGGTTATTTTTGTTTTTGAAAATATACTAACTTTTATTTCGAAAGTTTTTTTGTGTATCTCTACGCGTGTTTCGGCAAATTCGCTTTTGCCTTCATCAGGAGAATTCCTAATATTAAAACATCTAGCAATCTTACAAACTATTTATACCATTAACATGTTATTTTTAATACCAAACTTAATATTAATAAAACCTAAGCTTATTGTCCTTGGTGGTGACAGGTAATAAATGGTGGCGGGGTTGGTCTGGTGTTGTTTTTATTTTTACATACAGGTAGTTAGGTCGACTGGTTGTCGGTTTTTTGGGATGTATCTAAAAAGGCACGATGACACGTTGCCTTTGTCCCCGTTGAGTAAAGTTGTGGTCTGATGTTTATGTATTTCGATACTTTCTGCCGTTTCTAATTTCCACTATCCATACTTTTTGATTATTTGGGCGTTATCCTTGTTGATGTGGTGATTTTCCTTTACTATATGTCTGGCGACATTTGATTTTATGTGGGGGTTCATTTTCTTCAGTGCTTCTCTTGCTTCCTTCAGGTATTCTTTAAGTCTTACTGATAAGGGTCTTTTGGTTTGTCCGATGTATATTTTGTTGCAGGAGCCACACTCTATTTTGTATGACCCATTCAAGTAGACCACACCAACTTGAATGCCTTTTACCATCCGCAAAAGACCCAATTGACCCATTCGAAAAATGCGGAGTATACAATTATTAAAATAAATATAAAGCACTTAACACCGTAATTATAATTTATTATTGTATATTAATTTTTATTGTAATTATTAGTATTTATAAAATAAAATATTGACGTTTAATTACTAATATTGTACTAATAGAAATATTTATTAATCTATTATTTAATTTTTAATAATATATGTGATTATTCTTTAATTAATGTAAAAGAAAAAGTAAATGACAAATACAGCATTGATGATGAAAATCCACTTTACATCTATTTAATTATTATCCATTACGTACTCAAAGTAAATTAAAAGCACACTAGTAACTTACTATCTAAAGGATCTTAGCCAGTTGCAAGATCTTTCTTTAAAAAGATTTTTTGACTTCATTAAAAATTCGAAATGATTTTTACTCTTCTTGATTTATATGCCAACACAATTTATCATATCTAACAATTAACCATAATAATCTAACCTAGTAAGTTATACAACAGACATTTACGAAAAGGTATTTCGGAAGTACCTATTTGTAAAATTTTGTGTCTTTAATCGTATCACTTACTACGAGAAAATAATAACCCAAAAATAGTAGTCATAAACTATGTATAAGTAAAATCAGGAATCGAATTTTGAAAACTATAACTACTTGATATATGAAAACTGGAAACAACAGTTGTAGTAAACCCCATACCAAATCGAAAGTAAAGACCTTGCATTTAAGAGTGAAATAACTATATCAAATATTTTTTTTATTCATGAATCTAGTTCAACTATCGCACTCTAAGAAAAGTAATTTAAAACCATTCCAACATTGACTGTTTTAAAAGTTTCATTTAGAAAATTGGAAAAAAAATGCAAACTACTTGATTGAATAAAGTTTAAAACTTGCTTTACGAAAACAAGTTGGAAAAACTATTAATTCGTGCATGTCCAGACCTAAATGTTAATGTTTAATTTTAGTTTCAATTGAAGTAAAAGTAGAAATAATGATTGGTTTAGTGGCTTTATTAATTTTCAAGAAACGGGTTTGTGTACCAATTACAATAAAAATTTGCTCATGCATAGGAATATACGGCAACAACAACAAAACCATTGTTGCATTTATCACTACAGTTAACAATATTAGCCAACGCAAAAATGACCAAAACACCGCACATATAGACGTACAGGCAGGCAGAAACACTGTACTGAACCCGTGTTGAATGCACCGAATTATTTTTTCTATGTTAAGAAAAAAATACTCTTGCCGCTATTGCATTGATTTCATAAAATCTGGTTTAAAATTTTGTTCAAGAGACATTCATTGATTCCATAATAGCAAAAAAATAACATAGCTAACAAGTGGCAATTGGTGAGGTAAGAAAGTAGTACCACCGGTTAAACCAAATAAGCGTGCGTATCCATGTCTGTGCATAATATTATAAACAAAAAGCTAAACTTCCTTATTATAAATGTTGCATTGCAAAGCTTGAAAAATAATCAAAACAAGAAAATGCAACTTAACAACCGCAAAAGTATTTTTTTTTGTTTGTATTTTGTTTTAATGCATTTAATTGTCAATCTATCATAAATTCAGTTAAGAGATGAAAATCGGACAGGGCAAGGCATTAAATTTTTTATCTCACGTAACTTCTTTTTTTCCATAAAAATTTAAAAATAGTACATTTTTGGCGTTTTAAATATGTCGCACAATAAAAACAAACATGGAATTGCACAACTTCTTAAATGATTAAATGAATGAATTGAATTTTCGAATGAAATAGCTTAGAAATGCGTTTCCTTACATCAATATATTTAACAATTAATTTATCCGTAAAATCATTTTCAACTGAATTTATACGCAGAGGTCAAATACTTTCAATTTTTTGTTAAACTACAAGTTTTAACGCAGATCATTAATATTAATTGCAAATGATATATAAAACAATTATTTAGTAGAATTAATGTATTTTTACCGCTTGGAAATGCGGATCATGATTTGCATTAAATGTTCGGTGTAGCCTTTTGATTGTAAAATGTTATTACATAAACGCTTTTACGGATGAAGATACTCATGCAAGCGATATGAAAGTCTTATGACAGCAGCCTTATAATAAAAAAATCATATTTTTATTTAAATCCCTAGTAATGTTTGTGTAAAAGTGAAAGGAATAATATCTCCAACAGTGTTATTATTATCATTTTTTCTACTTTTTAGTCATACTTACTTTTTAACATGAAATACACAATGCGGGGAGGTATTTAATTAACTCTGTATTCAAAACTTTATTAGCCAAATAAACTAATCAAAAATTTGTGAAATTACATCTTTTTGAAGATTAGTAATGTAGAAATAAATATTTATTGAGATACACGTGAACAGTTCATTAAGTTTAACAAGTAACTGACAGATTCCATCTTTTATTATGTGTTAAAATATAAAACTAACGTGTTGATACACTTAGTATTTGTCCGTCTTTTTGTAAGGAGTACCATATTTTAATTTTTATACATATGTTTGCTAGTTTTCATTACTTTATGGAAGTTTAATTTTATTTTTTCAATTTAATGCGTAATAAAGTCGATTTATCGAGTATTATTAAAACATAAAATTAATTTAAATTTTATTTCTTTCTATAAAAAATTTAATATTTTTTCAAAAATCTATTATATATTTATTTTAAATTAAAATAACACAAATAGGCTAAATCCATATATTATTTTTACAAGTAACAATAAAAAAACTGCAAACAAAAATCTTCAGAAGAATTTAAATATTTTTATTTACTTATTTAAACAATTTAAACAATATTTTAATTTACTTAATAGAACTGTTAAGTTATAAGCTATTCAGATATGCTCAATAAATCAATAATTTTTTGAATATTTAAAAATTATTGTGAAATTACCAACACCGCGGCTCCTCGGGGAGGTATGCAGATCTAAGGACAATTATTGCTTAGTCTGACGAAGTGATAAACAATAATCTAGTCAAGATGTAAAGAGGGGTTTTAAAAATACCTCGAGTTAAAAAAGAGTATAAGTGCTTAAATGCACTAGCTCAAAACAGCTTCAACATAATTACTACAACTCACAATTATTTTGTTGTTTTTTAAACTATTTTCTTATTTCGATTCAGTTTTTCAACTACATATATATATTTAATGTGTTCGTAAAAACTACATTATTTGTCTATAATTAATTTATTAATTAAATTTATTAAATACTATTACTACTAGTAAACTTGAATTTCATTTCCAAATTGTATTCAGTATGGTATCAATAACGAGAAATAATTTAGGACATTCAGATTAGATAATATATAGTATTCTAATTAAGCAGACAAATAATCTTAGAGACGATGTTAATTTTTTTTTATAAAAAACGATGTTAATTTTTTTCAACGATAGTTACATAAAAAAAACTAAAAACTAAATTTTTTACTGACATTAGCTTGCTTCCTTAAAGATCATCCTGATTAATTCAACTTATATGCCGTGATATCTGGTAAATAAGCCCTGGCTACTTATTCAAAGGCTCCTTGAAATAATTTACAAATCATTATATATATCATTATAGTATGTTTATATAAAATAATTTGTATTGTAATGTTACTAGTCTTTAAGATTCTAAAACTTGTTGTTAGGCTTTAATTTAAAGCAATTCAATAAAGATATATTGGAAATTAAAAAAAAAAATAAGCTTGGGTAACAAAAATAGATCTTTGTGTTATGTAAATAATTCCATGTATAAATTTTTTTATTTTATTATAGTTAAACATTTTTAATTTAGATCTAATAAATTTTATTTCTTTTAATATATAATTTAAAAATATCTTCTAAATATGTATTAAATTAAAATATATCTATTTTCAGAACATAATGATATTAATACACTACATGGCACATATCAATATCTTAAAAGTACTGGACAGGTAAGCATTATTAAAAATAAATTGTTGGCTTGTATTACATAAAATCAATCGAATCACTAAATAAATCACCACATCGAGGAATCTTTGGTTAAGTAAACAAAGTATAATATCGATTCTTTTCAACATGAATTATAAATAAAACGTTGCTCGGATAACCATTTAAAACTACGTGCTTTTCTTTGCCATGGTGATTGATAATTTTTGCATTTTAAAAGTGTTGAAATATTTAAGAAAGTCATCAATGTATAAAGAATTAAGCTTTTAAGTTCTATCATTGCTAGCCATAAATATTTATATAAATCATAATCTAGTAAATTCGAAATACTCCTATTATGTATGTACACACCATCTCTCTCTCTCTCTATGTGTGTGTGTTTTTCTTATACGGTTAACCATTTAGTACTCCAATGTTATCTTCACTGGACCACATTTAGTTATACTATTTTTCTGGTACACAACACATCCGCACATATACATAATACATAAACACATACATGAACACATGCATAAACATAAACATACACACAAGCAAGCAAACAAAACACTATTATATGTCGCACACAATCTATCTCTTTCTATCTATGTCTCTCATTTGCTGTATACTCTATCCTTTGTGGTGCTGAGATTCTCAACTTTTTGAATTTCTTTTTGTTTTTCTTATTTGATCTGTATCTCCTTTAACAAACTAACACAACCTTACTCGTACCACTTTACAAAGTAGTCAGAAATAATTAATCTTGAGAAGTATTACAAGCTCTTAATATCAACTGTTATAGCTCCAAAATTCATTCAAGGCAAAAGATCACAGAATTCTGCTCACAATAATACATAAGTATTAAAAACAAATAGGTTATATCTTCTATAAATTCATCTCAAATATCTTGTAGGTTTTTCTTAATTTTATATATTTGGCAATTAAAATACGATTCTTAAACCCAAAATTAAAAGTTATTGTTAGTTCTAATGATTATCATTTAATCATTTAATTAAAAGTAATTAGTATATTTGTGGATGCAAATTTGGTAAGTATAACATATATTAATTAGTAAGTAAACATAACTTCAACATAATAACAATACTGTCTTCCATGCATTATCAACTTACCGAACTACACGCTAAAGACTGTGCAACAAAATCACAAGTCTCTTTCTAAAGTCTCTAAAACAGCACATAAAACAAGAGTGGTGTTTTGTGCAAGAGACTAGATGGACTCTCTAATCAATTTAGAGAATATGGAATTTAGAGAATAAGAAATTAAGCGATCTATTATAAACATATTTTTTAAATATTTCTTAATACACTGTTATAATAGGTTATAAACTAAAATACAAACAATATAAAAAGATTGAAAGAGTCATGTACTTTCATAGATTGAAAAATTCATTGTTTCCGTATATTAAATTTATAATTTATTAAGTACCACCTCAGATCTTTCGTAAAACTTTTATTACAAGTACCGAATCTTTTACATTTTTGAATGCTATTTTGTAAATATAATATTTATTGTTTTATATAAGAAGAGTATTTGCGATTATGTAAACAAACTGCAAACAAATTATAATATTTTATATAAACCCATTCACAAGGCACTAAAAATCCTAATTTTGTTTTGGATTTAGCATATTAAGCTCTGTTCGTTACAAAATCAGTTTAAAATCACAATTTGTTTTCTTATAAACAACAGATAGCCAAAATTATGAATTTATCACAGTAATTGTCAGAACCTAAAACACAACGAAAAAAACAAACAGTAGAAGAATATATTATATGTAATAATAATTAAAAAAAATTTTTTTGTTTTATTAAAAAACTATCGTTTGTTTTTGTAGTTTTTAATTATATTAAGAATAAATTATGGAGGCCTAATTTACATATTTTTCAGGAGGAATATGTGTAATATACCACTTGAAAAATGCGTTGCAAATATTGTTGAAACGAGACTTTAACAAGAGACTTTATGTTTTGTTGTGCAGTCTCTAACCAAAAATATATAAATATTCTGATATTATCTGACGTATAATCAACAATCTTCCATATATTTTTTTTGTATATGTGTGGGGTTGGCAATGCTTTCAACAAGCATTAGTAGAAATTAGTAGAAGCAGTAAAAAAGAAGCAGTAGAAAAGCAGTAATATGTTAGAAAGGAAGATTTCGACGAAGGAAGTCGAGCAAATATGATTCTTATATGTTAATTAAATTATATCTTGTATTTATAATAAATTAAACCCACATATATGTATACTTTTCAAGTTAGGTTTCTTCTCATTATTTATACTTGTACTTTGAATTTATTTAAATTCAAACTCAGAGCAAAATTTCTACTTCCGTTATTTATTGACTACATCATATTACAAAAAACAAATATAAGATTTCAAGATTTCAATATAACTTTTGATAAAAAGTGTTTTATTTGTTCTATCTTTTGAAATGTATCATGTATCAAAAAAGTTGCAAAAAAAAATTTATTTTGCTTTCTTAATTTAAATTTGCAAATATTTAACACAAACTATGAGAAATAAATTTTACAAAAGAATATTTTGTCAGTTAAAATATCTTACAACCGAAAGCCTTAACAACACTGGTAAAGCTACTGTGGATATCGTTTTTTTTAATCGTGTTCCAAAAGTGGGTAGCCAAACATTAATGGCTTTAATGAATTTACTCGGTAAACAAAATGGTTATGGAGCACATCGAGATAAGCCCTCACCTATAGAAACCGTTTTGCTTTCACCATTGTTCGAAATAAATTTGATTGAGGAAATTATGGAAAAAGAACAACCAGCTACTTACTCAAAACATGTGGCTTACATTGATTTTGCTGCCAATGATTATGCTCAACCAATTTATATTAATATGGTACGAGACCCGATAGAAAGATTAATTAGTTGGTTCTATTATATTCGTGCACCCTGGTATATAGCTGAGCGCAAAAAGAGATTTGCAAAAAGTTATAAACTTCCGAATGTACAATGGCTCAAAAAGACCTTCAACAAATGCATTTTAGAACATGATGATGAATGTTTGTTTGAGCAAGGCGAAGAGCGTGGATTAGGAGATCATAGACGTCAAATGTTATTTTTTTGTGGACAGGATACTACTATATGCATGTGAGTAAAAAAGGAAAAACCCCGCAATAAACCTTATTTTGCTTGCCGTGTTTTATTTGATTAAAATCATATAATATTATAGGCCCTTTAATTCATATGAAGCTATGCAAATATCAAAACAGCATGTTGAATCAAATTATGCTGTTGTTGGAACTTGGGAAGAAACAAATATCACACTAAAAGTTTTGGAGCATTATATTCCACGTTTCTTCAAAGGTGCAACGGACGTCTATTACCGTAATAATTAATTTCTTATTTAAAACGAATAATATGCATAATTTGATTTTTTACTATTTTTGCATTGCAAAACATTTACAGACCCAGAAAATAACTTACACAAGGTTAATCGTAATACTGTACGACCAACTGTATCACCAGAAGTACGCAATATATTAAATAAAAATCTTACAAATGAAATTGAACTATATCAATTCTGTAAACAAAGATTATATAAGCAGTACATAGCACTAAAGCTTCAAGACTTTCAGACACGTTGAAATATATTTCAACCATATTATTTATGCATAAATTAACTCATTCTAAAATTTATGAGAAGATATTTAGTTAAGTATTTAATTCATAGATGTGTCAAATAAAATTTTATAATTTATTACAGTCGTTTAGTTTTAAGAAAAGTTCCTTTTATATTCTTTTAACTACCAATTAATAAAGTTACTTTATTATAACAACATGTAAACAACGAATGCCTTATATTTGTAAATAATTGATTTGCATAGGTCGGCACTTTATTAGATCAGGTTTCTTTCTTACAAATCTTTATATTTTCAAATATGCCTCAAAACATTTCTTGTGATATGCGTTTTAAAATAAAGTTTTCGTGTGCTACTAATTATTGTTTCTATTAAATAAAATGAATAAAAATTTGCAATACATTCACTATCATGGACTAAACTAATTTACTATATGCATCATCAACTGCATTGTACTGCAATAAGCATATAATAAGCATATTGGAGCATATTTTATTTTGAAATATTTAATAGCATCATTCAATACACAACGTACGAAACCGCCACCATATAGATAAGGAACTTGTAAGTCACAATCATATACAACATCACAAATCAAATAATGTTCAAAATCAACCTCGTCTGGGGAATAATGAACTCGTAATTCAAGCACCAAATACCAATGAACCAATTAAGTCACACCATAAAACTGCAAAACGAGAAAAAATTCAGGTGGATAAAAAACAACAGTTCCAGGATGATGACTATGATCTTGAAGACGACGAATGGTCACTTAAAGCCGATCTGCTAAATAACACGAAAAAGGCTGAGGTTGATGTGATTTTTTTCAATCGTGTTCCAAAAGTAGGCAGTCAGTCATTAATGGAACTAATGGTGCGTTTGGGTAATATAAATGGTTATAGTCATTCTCGAGATGCTGGTAAAGCTACGGAAACAATTTTATTAAAACCAGATAATCAAAGAGAGTTAATTGCTGAAATTTATATGAAAAATAAACCTCACGCTTACAGTCAACATATTGCATATATTAATTTTACACGATTTCATTTTCCAAAACCGATTTATATAAATCTAGTACGTGATCCTATTGAACGTATAATAAGTTGGCATTATTACGTACGAGCTGAATGGTATTATAAAGATTTAAAAGATAAACTTGGTGATAAAGCACCAGACATGCCAGAAAAAGAATTTATGGAAATGGATTTCGAAACATGTGTCAAAACTGGTAGTAAATATTGTCAATTTAATCAGATGCAAGTAAATAACCCTGCAGGCGATCATAGAAGACAAACTTTATTTTTCTGTGGTCAAAATAAAAAATTATGCATGTAAGTACTTATATGTTAGATGCATGCTAAAGGATATTTAATTTGAAAAAAATGAATTTTTTGATCGCAGGCCCTTTAATTCAGCAGCTGCCATGCAAAAAGCTAAACGTACTGTCGAAGAGGATTATGCAGTCGTAGGCACGTGGGAAGATACAAATATAACATTAAGCGTTTTGGAACATTATATACCAAAATTCTTTAAACACGCTAAAGTTGCTTATTACCGTAAGATTATAATTCTACTGCAGACTCTACTAACAAGAACTGATTCGATTAAAATTATACTTTTCTTTATATCTCTACATCTCTTAAATAATATATTAGTAAAATCAATCCAATTAAAAGCGAAATTATTGATACTGCTATATCAGAATTTTGAAAATTTGAGAACATGAAAACAAATAGAAACTTTAACTATATAGTACATATAATACACACAGCAAAAATACTTCAAAGTTCAAAATACTTACTACGTCCGGCCTATACACGGTGATATATAGTTGCAGCAGCAGTATGGTCGCCTGCGTTCACTAATATATCAATATAGTATATATATATAGATTCTCTTTATTTTCATAAAAAATAAGTAATAAATAAAGTAATAAATATATTACTTACTCAGTGTGATTGTAAAGCTAATTTCAATACCATTTTTCAACGTTTTAGTGTTACTTGACTATGTTGATTTCTTTTGTATTACCTATCGCGAAAATATTTTAAAAGCTAGACATTAATATATTAGTGCTTTCACAAAAATTTACTTAAAAAATTTATTTATAATAGTACAGTGCCTTCGCACATATTTTTTTCTAATACAGATATCACTATTGGTATTTTGAAAGAAAATACCCCAAACGCAATATTATTCAAAATAATTATATATATATCTAATATATTGAAGATTCTGTAATACTAACAGCATATAAGGGGCTATTCAAAGCAAGACAACCCAAATGAGACATAAAGAACTTATGACCCAACACCTCCTTTTCTATTTGTTCCGAAATCATATTATACGTTATCTTATCAACGCAAGTAATTCTCAACATATAGCCTGACTACTTATACCAATTTTCAGAACAGTTTTGAACAGGACTGTTTATTTTGGACTTCATGTTATGCTAAGTAACTTAATGTACTACATTGTAATTATTATTTAATCGAAAATGTATCGATTTCGAAAGCAAAAATACATCTTTTTGTTAAATTTTTTAGTTGGACTTTAAACAATTGGATTTAGTTTTTATATTCCACGTTTGTAACAGTTTTTGTTTGTTAAATTACTGCAATATAATTTTTTCTTTTTGTATTTTTTAATATGAAAGTTTAATTTTGCAGTTTTTCAAAACCGCCTGTCCAGTGTTAATAAAAATTCTGTTAAAAAAACGGTCAGTGAAGAGGCCCGTGCTATAATACGAAAAAATCTTACAAATGAAATTGAATTCTATGAATTTTGTAAACAACGCCTATATTTGCAATATGCAGCAATCAGTGGAGGTGAAAAAATTGACAATGACGACTACCTTCTCTTGCCAGAACACAATGACGAAGGAGATTACGAGTATTAAATAAAAGTTTATTAATTAGTTTAATTTTTTAGTTTAGTATATTATTCTTAAAAATTCAAAAATCTTAAAGAAGAGGCTGACTTAGTCTAATAAAATAATTGAACTTTGTATGATTAAGAAATAAAAATTCAAATTTTTTCAATACTAATAACATTTTCCTAATTTTTCTTAGTTTCTTTACAAGTTTTGAAATAAGAAATAATCTTAAACTATTTTAAAATATTTTATTTTAACTTATTTCAAAAATGAATACGTTAGTTGCTTGTGTAGCTTTCTTAACAGTTAGTAGTCTGCTTGTATACAAATAGCATCAGCAAAAGATTTTTATCTAAAACTTTGACCTTTAAATAAAAAAATCATTTTCTTTATCAGTTGGACAATTTACATCCGCATATGCTAAATAATACTAAGTTTTCCCAATACGACTTCCTCTTCTTTAATCGGGTACCAAAGGTCGGTAGTGAACAGTTAATTGAATTAATTCATCGTCTAAGTGAAATCAACAATTTTGACACGGATCGCGCATTATTTGCAGAACCAATCAATAATCGTTTAAGTGACTACCGCCAAGAAGCATTAGCAAGTGAAATTGTTGATATGGGTGAATCATCAGCATACTCAATGCATGTTAACTACATAAATTTTAGACAATTTGATCTTCCACAACCAATTTATATTAATATGGTTCGTGACCCAGTAGAACGTGTTATTAGTTGGTTCTACTATAGACGTACACCTTGGACAGTCGTTGATATGTATAAACTTTCAAATAAATTTCATGAAAGTAAATGGTATCAAAAAAATTTTGAAGACTGTGTTCTAAGTAATGATAAGGAGTGTCAATATGTGCCAGAATCCGGGTTTAAGAATCAAATAGTTGATCATAAAAGACAGACATTATTCTTCTGTGGTCATGACATTGTTTGCGAGTATGTATTCAGTATAAACATTTTATTTATTTTTTTTTAAATTTACTTGAATAATGAGATATGCTTGTTTCAGACCATTTAACTCCATTGGAGCTTTACAATTAGCAAAAACAAATGTTGAACGCGATTATGCAGTTGTAGGCTCCTGGGAGGATGTTAATATAACTTTAAATGTATTAGAAAACTATATACCACGTTTTTTTAAAAACGCCACGAAAATTTATTTTGGTAAATGAAAAGTAAAAATGTTTATTGCTTAAATCTAATGACAAATATTTCAAATTAGATGGTGAAGATGCATTAGCCAAAGAACCACAAAATACAAATCCTTGGAAACCAAAAATTAGTGGGAAAATAAAAGATATAATACGAAAAAATTTTACAAATGAATACGAATTTTACTATTTCTGTAAACAACGTTTATATAAACAATATTTAGCTTTGCAAAATGTATAATGACATAAAATTTCAATTTATATTTATTGTAGATGTCATGTATAATATACTGTTTTAATATAAAACTATGTTATTTTCTTGATTATTTTAAGCAAATTAGAACAAATATAATTGAATTCAACTTCAGTAATGTCTTTTTCTACCAGAGTATAATATTTGATTAAAATGTTTGAATTAACCCTCAAGGCTATAATATCAAGAAGAAGTCAGTCAGTATAACTGACTGATGTTGACCTAATCTGGGAAAGCAATACTAGAGATATTACTACCTAAGCAATATCAGCTTATGACATTGAAATATCTTTAACAAGAAATATTCTAAACTTCAAAAAAAATTCTGAAATTAAATATAGAAGTAAATTTGAAGCATCAAAAAAAATTTAGAATAAATTAAATTTTTCAAAGTCAATTATTATTTTTTTACCACGAATGCAGAGTTTAGTACTCTGAACCTTTCAAATTTAAAGCAATTGACTATCGCATTTATTAACCGATCAAGCCAAAGCTGCATAAAACTGCCGTTTTTCCAATGTTAATACTTTTGTTGTATTTTTCCGATTTCTCAAAAAGTAAAAACCAAACCAATTGTCGTGTTTTTTAATTAGAACATGCTTATAAATCACAACTTATTGAAATTGTAGTCAGTTGTCAACAAATTTTAATTGCTAAACCATTAAATGAATATATTTTAGGGTTTTTTAAAGAAAAATATATGAGTTGATTGCTCTAGACAGCTTAAAAATTAATTTAAAACATTTTAAATTTCTGTTTCTTTAATAGTAAATGTTCCAGTAAAGCAATAAAATAAAAAAAAATTCAAATGTCATTGTTAAGCTGTAAAAATATTTCAGGCAATCCATTGCAAAACACTAGCAAGTAGTGTAATAAAAATTTACTGTGCTAATTCAAAGAAATGTATGAAATTAAATATTTGTGAAAACAACGGAATTATATATAGAAATAAATTATTATATAGTAAAAAAAAATTTATTAAAAATTATGTACTAACATATTGTATTGGTAATTAAACGAACATGTTTTTTGTTTGTATTGTGTATCTGTTTACTTTCTATTTTCAAACTCCACAATTGTTTTTGAGCATAGCATTCATAATACAGTGTCCTACATTTTTGTGTCTTTGAGTTATTGAAACATAAAATATCAAACAACTTTTCGTGCAGCTTCAATTAATCAATGCTAATATGCTAAATAATACGAAATTTGCAAAAAGAGATCTGCTGTTCTTTAATCGGATACCGAAAGTTGGCAGTGAACAGTTAATAGAGCTGCTACATCGCTTGAAACATAGAAACGGATTTACGGTCAGTCGTTCGTCTTTTTCAACTCCAGTATTATCACGAATGGACAAAGATGAACTACAGGAATTGACATATCGTTTATATGATTTGGGCGAATCTCACGCCTATGCTATGCATGTTAATTATATAAATTTTCGAAAGTTTGGTTTGACAAACCCAATATACATAAATTTAATACGAGATCCAGTAGAGCGTATCATTAGTTGGTTTTACTACAAACGTACACCTTGGAATGCTGTTCAAATGTATAAGATAATAAAGAAATTTCAAAAACCAGCGTGGTATAAGAAAAGTTTTGAAGAATGTGTTTTAAATAATGATCCCGAATGTATATATATACCAGGTTCAGGATTTAAGGGACAAACAAATGATCATAAAAGACAAACATTATTTTTTTGTGGACATGAACCAGATTGCGAGTAAATATTTCTTAATATATTATACATATATTAAATCAAATTATTATATTAAATTCTTATATTTAATATATTATACATATATTAAATGACAGAGAAATTTTATTCGCAGACCATTTAACACAAAAGGTGCATTAGAGTTGGCTATAACAAATGTTGAACGCGACTATGCAGTTGTGGGTTCATGGGAAGACTTGAATATAACACTAGCCGTTTTAGAACACTATATACCAAAATATTTTAGAGGTGCCAAAGCATTATATTATGGTAAAAATTGTTTAACACAGAATTTTGCTGTTATTATTATATATAAACTTTTTCTAGATCCGAGTAGGGGGTTATCTGGAGAGAATAGAAATGATAATCCCTGGAAACCAAAAATTTCTAAAAAAATCAAAAACCTAATTAAACAAAACTTTACTATAGAATATGAATTTTACAATTTCTGTAAACAAAGGCTTTATAAACAATATTTTGCTATTAAAAATAGAATTTGAATTTCTTAAAATAGAAAACAATTATTTATTTATCTTACATACTTAGGAAATATTTTTCTGCTTCTTTATTTGACAATTTGATTTCGAATGTAGGCGAATAAGAATTAAATTGTCTTTTGTACATTATATTTAATTAATATTGATTCATAAATACAAATATTTATGTTGCATTCATTTATTTATGGTACAGTCTTACCAAGGAAATTACTTAAATATAAATTATTTCTTAAAAAATATATGCATTCTATTATATGCACATACATATATATTATAGTTATATCAAACATGCATTCTATAATCGATGCAATCAACGAATGAATTGTCGCAGAGCATATTTGCAATTGTAAATTCAGCACAAACTTATTTAAAATTAAAAACTTCTGTTAAATCACTTTTCGCTACAACAAATGTTATATTTTTTATTTCATTTTTGCTTCTATGCAATTTGTTTTGCATACATATGTACATACACACATATATAATAGATCGAACGATCTTTCAGGAATAACTTCATACGTTATAGAAAATATCGAAATAAACTTAAATCCTGCAACGTTATGCATATTTACGCTAATATACATTTGGCAATTATAATTCAATTAAGACGTCAATCTTTTCGCAGAATACTGTGAGTATTATTGGGGATCACTAAGTTCGTCGCGGAGCATATTTAAACAAATTCTGTTTTAAAAAATTATATATAGTAATGTTTCAAATATTTTTAATTTTTTTTACTAACAAAAAAATTTTTCTAGTGATATATTTTCAAAACTTTATATGGAACGGTATTTCCTCATTTTCAAAAAAAAAAAACGTATTTGATATGCTTGCATGTAAAGTTGTCCTATTCATTATTATGTGTTTTCTAATTATATCGAATAAAAAAATAATGTGTAAATTTTAAAAGTTAGATTATTTGGACAAAATGGCCCTGAACAATACAGTATATGCACAAAAGGAGTTATTATTTTTTAATCGTATGGAAAAAGTGGGTAGTCAATCAATGAGTACGCTTCTTATTGCATTGTCACGAATAAACAATTTTACACCACATCGTAATGCGCCAGTAGCCACTAAAAAAATAACCGAAACTTTGGCAGAAGAAAAAGCTTTAGCTGTGGAGCTTAGCTCCATTGATGAGGCTAGTTCCTATGTAGAACACGCAAATTGGATTAACTTCACAGAACATGATTTAGCGAAACCTATCTATATGAATCTAGTGCGTCATCCCATAGAAAAAGTGATGAGCGCTTATTATTATGTGCGGCATCCATTTATTTATTTAAATTATTTCCAAAGAAATCCAAACAAACCAAAACAGCGAAAAGTTTATTTTGATATATCATTTAACGACTGTGTACGAAAAGAGAACTATCCGGAATGTGTATTTGATGCAACCAATCCATACAATCAAGATTGGCGAAGATTTACATTACATTTCTGTGGAAATTTACCTGTATGCGAGTACGTATGAAAAATTGGAAATTTAAAAGTATTATTAATAACGAATGTTATAAATGGGGTTTTATTCTTAAACGCGTAAATTTTGAGTTTACAAAAATTTCTGAAATATATTAAGCTCTAAATCTGTTAGATTAGATAACATTACAAGTCGACACGATTAATTATTTTAAGCTTTTAAATATATTTAACAAAAGTTTTAATTTAGTTGCTTTGTGACAAAATTAAAATTAAAGATTTCCTGTTTTCTGGATCAAACTTCAGTAATTAGACTGCTAGACACTAAACGCTGACATGATGCACTATTTTAGTATGTTAAATATGTTTAACTCAAACTTTAATTCTGCTGCTTTGTGGTAAAATTAAAGTTTTTCTTTCTTTCTGGATCAAGCTTCAGTATTAATAATTAAATTTCCATATACCCGTATTTTCCCTCATTAATCATTTACATTATTGGAACGAATAATATAACGAACTATTTATATTAATCTGTACTATGGCAATATTAATAATATATGAGCTAAAGAATTACAAAAAGAAGTATATACATTTAAATGATACAGCAAATCATTGTAATCATCATTAATAAAATCAGTTCTGTAACTGATGCATACAATATAAAATTTTCTAAAAAAATTAAAAAAAATAAAATTACTTCTTAATTCAAGATTTATACAATCAAACCAATTCAACTTAATAATACTGTCAAAGCTGAACAGGAAGTACTTTTTTTCAATCGTCTTGAAAAGGTTGGGTCTCAGTCATTATCACAACTGATAATTACTTTGTCAATATATAATAAATTTATACCACACCGTAATGCACCTTACGCTATAGCACCAATCTTGCAAAGTCCTGAAGAACAAAAACTTGTTGCTGAAGAAATTAGTGAACTTGGTGCTGGTGTTTCGTATGTTGAACATATCAATTGGATTAATTTTACAACTTTTAACTTACCAAAACCAATTTATATAAATCTTGCACGTCACCCTATTGACAAAGTTGTTAGCGCTTATTATTATATACGACATCCAGCAGTATATGGGTATTATGTTAAAAATAATAATGCAACACTAAAAGAGAAAGAATACTTTGATATAAGTTTCAATGATTGTGTCAAGCAATCCAAAATCAAAGAATGCATTTTTGATTCAAAAAATCCCTATAATGCTGATTGGCGACGTTTCGCCATGCATTTCTGTGGTAATGCTAAAATTTGCAAGTAAGTAAAGTAAGTTGGCGATCCAAAACCAAAGTAAATTAGATAGATATATAAATTCAATATAAATAAAAATAGCAAGTCTATATACCGTCACGCATAATTTTTATAGGGAATTTAATTCACACACCGCTATGCAAATTGCCAAACGAAATATCGAACAGGAATATGCAGTTGTTGGATCATGGGAGGATACTAACATAACATTAACTGTTTTGGAACATTATATACCGAGATTTTTCCGTGGTGCTACTAAATTGTTTTACAGTATGTTTATATTTTAAATATATATTATTTATTTTTTATTGACCAATGTATGAACAATACCATTAGGTGATGTGGAGAAATTTCATAAAAACGCAACACCACATTCAAATGAACTGGATCCCGACGTTGAAGCTAAATTAAAAGTACAATTTGCTTTTGAAATAGAACTTTATAATTTTTGTAAACAACGACTTTACAAACAATATATTGCAATTAAAAAAGAAGAAATGTTGAATATGTTTAATTAAACATATAAATGTGAATTTAAAAATATATAACATATTAAAATATATATAAGTTTATATTTATTACAATTTACCTGCACAATGAATTTTTTAGCATTAAGTTTTAAAATTATTTATTTAATTTATAAATATATATACGTACAATTTATGTTTTAAGAATATTTGTGAAATAAAAATGAAGCAATAAAATAATGTATCAGATCTTAAATACAACATGTTTTCCTATACATAAAAACCATTTAAATTAAGTCATTTATATTTTAATTAATTAAATATTTCTTTCAAATAACTCAAATATATTCAAATAGGCAAAAAACAATAAAAATCTGAAGTATGATTTTTAAATATAGTTACGTCATGCATTTTAAAAGAAACAATGCATATGAACTGTTTCACTAAATTGTATTCATATTAATTGCTCCAATTGCAAAAGTATAAAATGCTCAACTTAGTTTACATAATAATTGTACATATGTAAAAGTGGTATTTACGATCATGAGTAACGAGCGCGGGAACCCAGTAACATTGTGCAGTGTAAAGCGATAAAAAACTGCAAATAACACTTCGAGGAAATATATTGCCACTTTGTACTGTTACTATATTAGTCAATAACTGTAATACTTACTCAAGACCGTGAATATACCTCTTTATTAAAATATACTATATAATAAATGAAAGTACTGGCAAAATCAAGTAAAATACATGCGAAAATTGATTCGAATGTAGTATAGCAATTTGAAGATCCTCGGTATATCTTTTTGTGTCTTTATATGAAATTATCTCTTCTTATAATATATTCTTCCTAACGATGTAACTAGCAACTTTTATGTCTAATTAGTATTTCAATTGTGGTAAAGCAAAACTTTAATAGACGTACAATTCTTCTGACAGCGCCTAGTGAGGTCATATGGATTAGTTATTAGTTAGTTAGTAATATATGAACTAAAACAGCCGTATTAATGTATTATAGAAAGTGTTCACTAGAGTGCTGTATTAGTTGATACTACGAACTTACCATGAACATAAATTCTTTATTTTATTACTTTGTTTTAAAAACAACAGATCACCATCGTATTACATTTACGAATACATCTACATAACTAAATAGCAGTTTAGATGCCTGAACTCTATTGATTTATTTGGTGTTGAACTATAACGCTCAAGTATGGAAAATTTCTTCATATATATTAAACTAGTTGTTTTTATACAAATGTTATCTGAAAGGACATAGAGTTCTGATGCAATTTTGAAGACATTTCGATCTGTCATTTCGATCTGTCATTAAAATCAAAACAGCTAATATTTAAATACTTGTTATAAAAATATCATCCCGAGTAAAAAGGTACTCAAAAGGATACAGAATGATAATGATAATGATATCCTCTTTGCATGACATTAATTTCAATAGATGTGAATAATGTTTTAATCCCAGTTAACCGATTTTTAATACAGTACACTTTAATAATATCATCCGCAACTAATTAAGCGCTAATTTCATCGATTATTATGATACTTGTAGGTCAGACGAAAGATAAGAAAAATATCACTTATAGTTTTTGTTCCTCTAGAAAGTGCTTAAGTATTCCATGTTCTCCCTTTATCAAGTATCTATCTAATATCAGCAGACTAGGTGCCGCTAATATTTACTATCAATGATCTTTATTGTAGTAGTATTCCTTCCTAACTTTAAGATATTATTTTCAGAGTAACTAGATTTTCAACTTTTCCTTAACTAACTTAGCAAACTATTTATTACGTTTTACCAATATATTGTTTAAAAATTGTCTAATAACATAACTCATTATTTGATGCCATTTCCAATTTTCTTATTAACTTTTGCTTACTGCATATTGTATAATTTGTACTTGGTCTACTTAAAAGTATAGAATTAATCTTTAATTGATAATGTTTTGAATTTCAAATTTCACTTCCGCCTTATAGATATATTATTTAAATGCTGATGATTTAAACAATACTAAAAGAGCAGACATCAATGTTGTACTTTTTAACCGCGTCCCAAAAACTGGTAGCGTTCAATTGATTGAATTAATGCGTAATCTTGGTAAAGTTCACAATTTTGACGTGGACGTTGATCCGCAACAGGCTGGTATACGGCCATTATTAGATGAATATGAAGAAAGTGATTTTATTGATAATGTAGAAAATATAGAAGATGGTAATATCTTTGTTAGCCATGTAAATTACTTGAATTTTACCAAGTATGATAAACCTCGCCCAATATACATAAATATGGTACGTGATCCAGTGGAACGTGTTATTAGTTGGTACTATTATATAAGAGCACCTTGGATTTTTGTACCAAATAGACGTAAAAATAACAGACCAATGCCAAATGCACAATGGGTTAATACCGAATTCGATCAATGTGTAATGAGTGGTGAAAAAGTTTGTACTTTTATCGAAGGTTCATTTTTAGAACGTGTTGGCGATCATAGACGTCAAACATTATTCTTTTGTGGTCATAACGAACGTAAATGCATGTGAGTGTAAAGTCATTCAAGTTTTGATGAGGACATATAGAAAATAATAAATTTTTTCCAATTAGGCCCTTCAATAGTCAAATACCTCTAGAAATTGCTAAGCGAAATGTTGAAAAAGAGTATGCAGTTGTTGGTACGTGGGAAGACACTAATATTACATTAACTGTCTTGGAAAACTATATTCCTCATTATTTTAAGGGAGCCACAAAAATGTATTATTGTAAGCAAATGCAGATTCTTTCAAAAGTGGAAAAATATTTATATATATATTAAATGTGCAGTATGTGTTTAAAAATATGACAAGGAAACATTTTTCTTAATATTCGTACATACAGTTTTATATGCAAACATACAAAATATTTAGTACAACTTATTTTTACAAACGTAATATAATTTTTTGAAAATAACTAAATATTTTCAAATGTCGTAAATTGCCTTTTTAATGGGTAAGAAAAAGAACATTTCATACAAATGTATGAACAGTTCATATTTATACAATTATCGTACGATTGACACAAATTGCGATCCTCTCCGCATTTCATAAAAAAAATTATAAATAAAAATTCATATAAATTTACATTAAATTGTCTGTCTGTAAATACTAATATTATTACTATTTTAAGTATTATTATTATTAGCATTACAAGAAGCAATGGTACTCCCCCTTTTATTGAGATACATTTTGCTATTTCTGGAGAAAATCGTTTAAACTAACCTGATCAATTTCAAGCTTTTAATACATCTAATAATATTCTTTAATAGAGGGCTTCAGCTCTATTAATGTAAATGTCCAGACCTCATGCGTGAATGAACGAAAAATAGAAATATTAGATTAGTTCCTGACAAATACAGGCTTTATAAAAAATTGTATATAAAACTTCTTTGTTTATTAGAAACACATACTAGTACCTTTGAAATTGTAAAGTTATAAAAAAATATTTTTCCTAAAAATTATATTTAAAACTTATTGAATATCAACCATTTTTAATACAGCCGGACTGAATAATGATATACAAAACAGTAATCCAATGAAGCCAATAATTAGTGAGCACATTAAAGATCTTGTACGTAAAAATTTCACGCGTGAAATTGAATTTTATCAATTCTGTCGGCAAAGATTGCATAAACAATATTTAGCGTTAAGACTTGATGATCTTATGAAAGCTGACAAAACTTTGGGAGAATTTAATAACATAGCGAGAGCTGTTAAACGCTAACCATACTATTATTTATTTTAAGTTTTCTATATTATATAAAAAATAAATTTCTATTTAATTATATATACAACAATTTACATTTTTATTTTTATTTTTATTCTCTTATTGAACTCATCTAATTAATTTTAAAATTTCTAAGAAAATAACTTTATTAAAATTCGCTTATTAACTTCTGCTGCAATTTGTCTGAATAATATTAGAATGAGTGCGACATTTATTATATAAGATAGAAAAAAAATAGTAATAAGCAATTCATCGATCTTATTAAAGCTGAGTTCACTCAGTGCCCATAGGCTTAATAACACGCGTAAAGCTGAAATCGATGTAATATTTTTTAATCGGTGCGCTAAAGTTGGTAGTGAATCTCTATTAGAATTATTTAATAAACTAGAAGATTTCAATAATTTGAATATTGAACGAGAAGGTTTAAGAAGACCAACTAAGAGACAATTAGAACCTAGAGAAGAACGTGAATTAGCGAAAACAGTTTCTGGTTTGGAAGATGGATCTGTATACATTGAACATGTAAACTGGTTGGACTTTGAAGACCTTGATATGCCAAAACCAATATATATAAATTTAGTACGTGATCCTGTGGAACGTGTTATATCTTGGTTTTATTATGCACGAGGAGCATATAAAAATGCTATTGAATACAAAAAAGATCCAGAGAAACCAACTCGTTCCGCTGCGTGGTATAAAAAAGACTTTAATTTCTGTGTACGCAGCGGTGATCCGGAATGCCAATATGTACCGTACACTGTCATTGATGCAACTGGCAACTTTAAACGACAAAGTTTATTTTTCTGTGGACATAGTCAGGATTGTTTGTAAGTTATAGCTTATATTTATTATTATATATATAATAATAATTTCTACTGATAATATATCATTCTTTTGCATATCTACACAGATATTTTAATGTAATAATCAATAATATTAGCAATAATGCTATTTTTTTATAATTATATTAAATGCCTAATTCATAGAAAGGTTTCATAGAAAGATTCATAGAAAATTCATAGAAAGAAAGGTTAAGACCTGTATTTTGGTGTATGAATTCATATTAGTTCAACGAAATTTCACTACGATGTCCGAGTATTCGAAAAGATTTAAATCTAGCAATAGAAAAAAATTTTTTAAACACAATATGCTCTAAATTTTTATATTAAACTCTTATCTGAAAGATCCTCTTACGTATTTAACACTTGAATTGCATTGCTTATTTTTCAATATAATCTATTTTAATAACAATTAGTGTTTGGATTAACTCACATGCATGAGATATATTTGTATATCAACGGACCATTAGCTGCAATATGTTAGAATTCACTTAAAATTATTATTTCAGCAACTGAATTTATTTGCAACTGATATAATGAAATAAAATTAATTAAAAATAAAAATTAACTAAATTAGAATTATTTTTAATTTTTTAATATTATTTAATCTTTCCAATTTTTAGCAAAATTAAATTAAATTAAATTAAATATTGGAGATTTGTTATTTTAATGTCGATAATAAGAGCTCTGCTAAACTGAAGTTCATAAATGGACAGTTTGTACTTTTTATAGAAGGTACATTATTTTGAACAAAAAGTTGGATCTGTACTGGATCTGTTGCTATACACTTAAAAGAGCTTTCCCTGTACTGCTAAAATGGAAATGTCTTTTGTGATATTAATTTTGCATAATTTTGATTAGATAGATTAGATAGTTAATTATAAACATTTCAATACCATTTACTATATCCGATGTTGATGTAATTAATCAAAAATGAAGTTTTTATATAGTGTTATTCCCGTTTTAATACAGCTATGTTTAGAAGTGTCTTTTTTTATAATAAAAAATTATTGAGCTATATTTTTATATATTATTACCATTTGTAAAATATCTGTAATATTATGCGACAGTAAGTGATGTTTAAATGAATTTAAAAGTAACGCATTTTTTTAAATATATATATTTTTTACATATGTATATTTACATAAAACCTATTAAAATTAGCGATATAAAATTTATAGGCCATTTAACTCACCAGCAGCAATACAAATGGCTAAAGAGCATGTGGAACGCGATTATGCTGTAGTGGGTTCGTGGGAGGATACGAACATAACTTTGACAGTTTTTGAGAAATATATTCCACGCTTCTTTCAAGGTGTAAAAATTGTATTTGAAAGTAGGTGTTTCAATTGGCAAATGAAGTAAAAAACCAAAAATTTAATTATCGCACCTATTTTTTTTTAATATTTTAGTGCATAATGAAAAGATTACAAATCGTAATAAAAACAAACGAAAACCAAAAATTGACGAAGATGTTAAGGAAATGATACGCAAAAATTTCACACACGAATATGACTTCTATTATTTTTGTAAACAACGTTTGTATAAACAGTATTTAGCTATTAGTCTTAAGGATCTAAACTTATAATAATAACCATTTCAATATATTATAAATATAAAAAATACCCATAAAGTTAAAAAAAAATTGATCTTTCCTTGTTTTTAATTTCAAAGCATTGTATCTAATATTTGTAGAGGATGGCTCATTTATATCGAAAACAAAATTCCTCATTTATATTTTATTAATTAATTTGTTCAAGTTACTTTGAGTGTTGAAATGAAGGAAGTAATTAACTTCTAAATATTTCTGTTTTAATTTTTTACATATTTTTTTAGTTTGTATACTATTACCATTTCATTTGTGAGTTAAGTGTTTTGTGTTCTGTGAGTCAGTTTTCAAACTAAAATGACAAATATAGTTACTAAATATAAAATAAAAATACAGCTAGAAAATCTTTATCCTGATGATTTAAATAATACTGGCAAGTCAGAATCAACAATACTATTCTTTACACGGGGTGCTAAAGTTGGTAGCGAATCAATGCTGGAACTGCTGCTTGCACTATCTAAGCCTAATAATTTATACATAGATCGAACAGGCCCAAAACAACCAGGGAAAAAGGAAATGCCAAAACCAGAACAAGAAACTCTTGTAAAGTATATAAATGACTTAGGCAATGGGTCGGTTTACATACATCATGTGAACTGGATTAATTTTCATGAATTTCAATATCCTAAGCCGATTTTTATAAACTTGGTACGAGATCCTGTTGAACGTGTTATAAGCTGGTACTTTTATATACGAAATTCCTACAGAAATGCAATTGAGTTTCGAAAACACCCAGAGAGGGAAATTAAACCAGCTTCTTGGTACAAAAAGGATTTCAATAAATGTGTACGTAGTGGAGACCCTGAGTGTCAGTATGTTCCATTTACAATTAATGAATATAGTGGTAATTTCAAAAGACAATCCATATTTTGCTGTGGACACAATAAAGACTGCTTGTAAGTAAAAATAATAAATAATTTAAAAATAATATCATTAAAAATAATCAAACAAGAAGACGGCAGTTAAATATTTCTTGCTTAATGCGTTATATAGACCTTTCGATTCACCCTATGCTGTACAATTGGCCAAATATCATGTGGAAACTGAATACGCTGTTGTAGGCACTTGGGAAGAAACAAACATAACATTAACTGTATTGGAAAACTATATACCCCGATTTTTCAATAATGCAACCGAAGTATTTTATTGTAAGCCAAACTATTTCATATCGAACACTATGTTAATATATTAATTAAAACTATTTTTAAATTTGTTTAATACATGTTTAAACATGTACATTTAGCAAATTATGTACAAATTACTAATCGTAATAGGAATCATAGAAAACCTCATATTGATGACGATGTCAAAGCCATGATACGCAAAAACTTTACTAATGAATATGATTTCTACTACTTTTGCAAGCAGCGATTATATAAACAATATCTTGCACTAAGGCCCAAAGAATTTTTTAATTAAGTCTTAAAAGATTCTTAGTCTCACAAAAGGTTAATAGAACAATAAATGCTCAATTCTATCATTTAGATGTGTTTATAAAATGATATAAAAAAAATAAAAAAATTCTAAAGATGTGTTAACATTTATTTTTTACTTGCACTCATTTCATATTTTACTTACGAATATTTTAATATAAATAAAACAATCATTCCATTAAATCTTCTAAACATCTTATTATTAGATAGTAACACAATAGACTCTCATAACAATTTTGATGCACAGCTGAATTCACTCAACATAGATCATCTAAATAATACAAAAAGAGCCGCTTTAGAAGTTTTATTCTTTAACCGTGCTACGAAAGTTGGTAGTGAGGCTTTAATGGAATTGCTACAGCGTATGGCGCCATTAAACGACATGACAGTGATAACAGTTGGTCCTCTAAAAGGGAGTCCACGCACCCGCAAATTTAAAGAGCAACGCATACATGCTAACTGGGTGGCCGACTTGGAAGATGGAACTATTTATATCGAGCATTGTAATTGGTTAGATTTTTCTAAATTTAATTTACCAAAACCGATTTATATAAACTTGGTTCGCGATCCCGTCGAACGTATGATTAGTTGGTTTTTTTATGTACGTGGTGCCTATAAAAATGCCATTTACTTTAATAAAAATCCTGATGGTGAAATAAAACCCCCAGAATGGTTTAAAAAGGATTTCAATCACTGTGTGCGTAGTGGTGATCCTGAATGTCAATACGTTCCACATACTTTCAATGACCGCGAAGGAAATCATAAAAGACAAAGTTTATTTTTCTGTGGTCATGACAATGACTGCTTGTAAGTATGCAAACATAATATATAAAGTACTATTTATTTATGTATATATGTACAACACAAATATTTTCTATTAAGACCGTTTGATTCACCATATGCAATACATATGGCTAAGCTTAATGTAGATCGTGATTACGCTGTAGTTGGTACCTGGGAGGATACAAACATAACATTGACAGTTTTTGAAAAATATATACCAAGATTTTTTAAAAATTCGAGAACAGTTTATAACAGTAAGTAGAAATATAAGAATCGTGTCATTTTAAACAATAAAATAATACTGTAATTTCTCCATATGAAGCGCAAAAATTATAACTAAATATTTAAATAATACTTAAGCCCTTTCTTTGACAAATAATCGTATTTTCAATAATTTATAGCTCAAATAACAGTTCATTTTCTTGTAACATATTTTTATAATTTTTATTACAAGTTAAATATAGCAAAACTATATGCTTATATCGTATAGTTTTTAAATATGTCTTTTGTAATATAATACAGATTTTATAATTAAAGGTTTTGCTTGACTAGGGTTATTCTGATGCCGTATATAAAGGGGAAAGTGGTTGTGCGACTTATACCATATCCCCACCCCCGAAATATTTGAAATTATTTTGCATGTTTTCATTATATGAAATATGTTCATATGAAAGAACTTTAATTTATATTTCAAAAACGAAACAAAATTGAAATTGTAACGAAATTCACTTATAGGATTACTAGCATAAAATTAAAAACAACCAGTTTCTTTATTTTTGATTATTGTTTATTCAATTCTATAAAAAATGAAATCATCCAATTATTTTCGAAAAAGCGACTAAATCATAAGGCTTCACTCACTTTTTCATAGTATCGTCATTTTTCTAAAATTAAGATTTTCTGATAAACCTAAGCTTGTTACACGAAAACCACCGATTAGATCAGACAATAAGATTTTTTCTTTACCATTTGTTTTGTCCATTCTCGATGCTCTGAATTCTGCTTGCATTACATTACATATATAAGCTAACTTTATATAAGTTATAAATAATTCAATTATTTTTATATTTGACGGTGTCGTTTAATTGTCATTCTTTATTATGATTTTCCGTCCTTTTTAATATCAAAGTTTACTTGCGTCTTTAATTTTAATTGAGATTTATAAGAAATATTTTTTAGAATTTTTTATCTTATTTTTCGAGTATGAATACATACACTTAAAATCCTTCATAAAAAAGTATTACTGTTATAATTTTTTGAACGAACTTTATTAACCCAACCACTAAGTGTATTCAACCAAAAATAAGTTTAAATTAGAAGGATTCGAACAGTTATAAAGCAACAACAACAAAACTTTTAATTTTTTGAAATTTGGGTGACCATACAATGCTGTTTCGAGTATTATCAAGTACTTATCGTCAGTGACCTTTTAGGAAATATTCGAAGATCACTCATGACAAATACTTGGCAATACTCGAAACAGTGTTGTATGGTCAGTCAAATTTCAATATATTAATTAAAATTTTTGTTTTTGTTACTTCATTATTGTTCGAGTCCTTCTTACTTAAAAATAGTTTCTTTTCGTCATAAGACGTGTTATATTTGACTTAGAAATTAATATTTATTAAAAATTTTTTTTTATTTCAATATTTGTAATTATCAATAAGATTTTATAAATAAGAATTTTTAATTACCCATTAAATAAGTTTTTACATTTCCTTTTTACTAAAATTATTAAAAACTATGTTATTATAGTAATTTCTCTTTGTCAATAACAGCATTACTTGAATGCAAAGTGTAAAGATTTTAAAAATTTAATTTAATTATATGAAAAAAATAGAATATCTTACTTATATGCAATAAATGAGTTTTGAGTTATTTTCATTTGCAACCGCAATTTTACTTAAATCAGTACAATTTATATATAATTTAATTAAAATTGTTTTCGGTTCTCGAAAAATTGGCATTTTAATTTTTTTTTTTGAAAACCATCAAGCCAGTAATCCATTCAATAAGAAAAAATCATCGTTATTATTAGTTTTAATTAATTTAATATAAATAACATTCAAAAAATAAAATAACTTTCCCCTAATGTGGAAAGTAACAGCTTTCTTTTGAATTCCTAGATTAATATAATATATATCAAGTGCTAATTATTATCTTATTTTAATATAATCTTTAGCCAAACATATTTATTGTTAAATTCAATTTTTTTATATTTTTTATTTAAATTAAAAACTAATTTTGTACTTTATAATTGATTGCAACACAACAAAATTTGTTATTTACCGATACCCGTTAATAATGGTATCGGTTACTTTCTTTATTCAAATACAACACTATAAATGTGTTTAAATTTTTGAATTCCTTACCTATTACCTACTCTACTTTCATATTGTTCTTCTTTTACTATTTCTTTTACTACAATAAAATTCTTTTTTTAATGTTATTTTTACAACAACATCATTTTTTATTTTCCATTATCCCAGTGAACATTGATCGTCTGCAAAATCGTAATAGAAACAATCGGAAGCCGAAAATTGATTCGGATGTTAAGGATTTAATGCGCAAAAACTTTACAAATGAATATGATTTCTATTATTTCTGCAAGCAACGTTTGTATAAACAATATTTAGCACTTAAATTAGGAAATTATATATAATTATGTGAATAATTAAAAGTATTAAGTTTATAATATAATATAAAATTAAAAAATAAAAATAAATACATACCATTTAAAATACGTACTATATTGTAAGTTTTTGTTTTCTTTTTGAGTGATTTTTATTAATAAAAGTTCCAGCAAAATGTTTGTTGTTTTAATAATAGGAACGCAAAAATCTATAAATATAAAACTATTTCATCAGAAGGGAACTAAAATTTAATATGTATAACTTCATCACAACTTTCATCACAAAACCAGTGCATTCATTGCCACCACAAATGCATGAATTTGCACACTCACATACACAAGTTGCACATATTTTCGTATGTCCGCCATTTTGAAAAAATCGTTAAATAACTGCTATTTAAATTCCTTAAATGATAGTTGTTTTAATAGTTGATCAATTTTATTAACAATTAAACAATGTTAATTTACACATAAGTTACACTTTCGCTAAAAATAACGCAATCAAGGACCACTATTTCACTTAATATTACGAACGAACAACAACTCTTTTCTTCACGATCGCGTTACAGCTAGCACAAAGCCAATTGTCAGGAGTAGTGATCAGTGTTGCCAATCAGCAAAATTTTTAACAATAATTTGAAAAATATTACAATTTTTAAATGTGTACTTGAAATGGTGTCACCAAAACATATGGATTGCACACCTCTTTCACAATGTAAAATATGCATATGTAATGAAGTTGCATGTACATAATCAGAAAAATTATTTGTAGCTGAAACTCATACATTTGCGTTCTTTTTGCTTAATATTGTGCAAAAATAATAGCCAACTTTTTTAAATCGAATTCTAAATTGTAAACTAATCAATATGCGTAAATGAAAAGTATTAAATTATTTTAAATAAACTATTTGAATTGTGTAGATTTTTTTTTTGCATTTTTAATTTGTATAAAATCAATTTTTTTGTAATTTTGTTTTAAATTTTTTGAGTGGTTACGTCGAAATTATTTTAAAGTCGGTTTTGTTTTTAGGATTTAAACTTTTATTTCGTATGTTGTGTTTTATATATCTGCACACGTATTTCTTCAAATTCACCTTCATCAGGAGAATACAGGAATTCAAGAATTCCTTTAAATCAAGACTTTAAATCAATTTTTAATTGAGCAACTTTTTTAAAAGCTTTCAATTAAATCAAATGATATTACATTAAATATTATTAAAAAAAAACTAATGTGGCCTTTATTTAATAGGTCACATTTTTAAATATTTATTGTTTTATAGCTCTTATAGTCAATAAATTATTTGTAATATATTTAAATTATTATGAAAAATTGTTAATTTATATATTTAAACAGAATATTTACACACAAAAAATCGTTATTTTTCTTAAATTTAGCATCCCTACAAGTATTGCCAACATATAAAAATATATAAAAAACATCTGTTGGCATTACAGGAAATGAAGCTTATTGAAAACGAATTTGGTGTTAAAAAAAAAATTATGTCTAACATATAATTTTATTTTAATAAAAAATTCTTGATAATTTTTATGATCCCATATTAAAGATTCAATTACATAAAATTATTCAATTTATTTATGAAAACGTCTTTATGATATTTGCATGCACAAATTATCCGCATGTTAAATATTTACCCTTGTGCAAAGCTACTGGAAAATGCAAACAAATTATCAATCACCTCGGAGAATATATATTTTAAAAGCACAATTTTAATGGCAACAGGTATGTTTAAAAATGTTTCAGTTTTATTATTATTATTAAACAGTAACTTATTTTTATTACTTCAAAAGGTAATTAAAATTTTACAACAATCGTTAAATTTATGATTTTTTCTTATTTTTGTCAGATGCAATCATTAAATGTAAATGATTTGAATAACACGCGAAAATCTCAATTAGATTTAATATTTTTCAATCGGGTACCTAAAGTTGGTAGCCAGACTTTTATGGAATTGCTGCGACGCTTGTCGGAACGTAATAATTTTCAGTTTCATCGTGACGCTGTGCAAAAGGTGGAAACAATACGTTTGGCAGAAGATCAACAGCAGGAGTTAGCTGAAGTCATAAGTGAATTACCCGAACCATCAGTATTCATAAAACATGTCTGTTATACAAATTTTACAAAATTTAATCTTCCCACCCCCATTTACATAAACGTTGTGAGAGATCCAATTGAACGAGTAATCAGTTGGTTTTATTATGTGCGTGCTCCTTGGTACTTTGTTGAAAGAAAAGCGGCTTTTCCAGATTTGCCACTACCCCATCCAGCTTGGTTAAAGAAAGATTTCGAAACATGTGTTTTGTCAGGCGATCAAGAATGTACTTATACACAAGGCGTTACAGTGGAGGGTATCGGTGATCATCGGCGGCAAAGTTTATTTTTTTGCGGACATGCGTATGAATGCACGTAAGTAATAAAATTTTTTTTGCGATTTAAATTGATTCATTTTAATAATTTTATTAATTTCTTTTAAAGACCTTTTAACACTGTGGGTGCACTAGAACGTGCTAAATTTGCCGTAGAGAGTCAATATGCCGTTGTTGGTGTGTTAGAAGATTTAAATACTACGTTATCAGTATTAGAGGAATATGTTCCAAGATTTTTTGAAGGTGTACGTGAAATTTACGACAGTAAGTAAATGCTTATTTATATTTGAAATTAGCACTATAAAGTATTTTTTATATATAATTTATAGGTAGTGCAGAATATTTGACAAAAATCAATAAAAATAATTTCAAACCTCCAGTTAGCGAAAAAGTAAAAGATATTGTGAGACGCAATTTTACAAATGAAATTGAATTTTATCAATTTTGCCGCCAAAGATTACATAAACAATATCTGGCGACGCATTTGCCACAAAAACTTCTTGCAAACCAAGTGAATCTATTAAAATAAATATGTTATTGTTGTTGTTTTGGATAATGTAAAGTGTGTGACTTCCTTTTCTGTATATTGTATGTAATTTTATCATTTTCATATATATAAACCACATTTTAATATAATTTTTTTTTTATTTTACATAATTTTAATTATATTTTCTATTATACTATTAAAAATTGATAGTATAAAAATATTGATTTTTATACAAATTGTTAAGTATATAAATCCTAGACTAATTTCTATATAAGTTATAGTTCTCTGTTGTACTAGGTTAAAATTTTTAATATTTTATACTCAGAACTAAAAGAAATTTTAAAATGTGATTAAAAAATGAACAAAATATATATGTATTGTTAAATATTTTATTTCATAGAAAACTTAAGTATATTATTAATATATAAAAATTGAATAAATAACAAAAAATAAAAAACAAAATTCGAATTTTAAGTTGTTTTAATTCATTTAGATATGAATTTGAGTGTAAGTATGATTTTAAAAACAATTTTAAAAGAATGCTCTATTAAGTTATTTTAATTCATTTACATAGATTGGTATGTATTTAAATGTAAGTATGTATGTAAAAATAAATTTTAAAAACAATTAAATATAAAAGTTAATGAAGTGGATATTATATATGTATTCAAGTCAAGTTAGGAAATAAATACAAAAATCTAAAAACAAAAAATTGTATTTACCGTTAACTTATTAACATTTATTTATATATATACATATTTATATACATAAATTATTGCTATAAATATGAACAGTTAAACAACTTATTTAAAAAAGTTTAAATAATAAGGCCGTTAAATAACAAATACTTTGTATAATAAATTTAAAAAATAATTGTTTGAAAATTTTCCATAAAGTTGTTTAAGTAATATAATAAAAATTTTTAAAACACTTAAAGCAATGAATTTTGAATATAATAATTAAAGCAGTTAATAAAGAGTAAATTTTAAATTTAATTTTATAAGTATTTACTTACTCATAAAATGCTTAAGTTATAGATAAATAGTAATTAAAACATTTAAATTATTACATTTATAATGAATGAGATCCTATACTCCAATGTGAGAAAGGATAAATTAAAAAAAGATATTAACAACACATATTTGAGTAGATTTTATTTTAATTCTGTTAAAAGTTATAGTTATAAAAAAATAAAAAACAGTCAATATTATTTGTCTTTGATAATCTCAAACTAAGTTTTTTGATAAAAAGAAGAAAACATGAGTTAATATTAATGCACTTGTATTGTATTACAAATATTTTGTGTATTAATTTATTTTAAAATTTTATGTTCAAGGTGCATGTATTGATGTTTAATTTATTTATGATATCGAGAACAAAATATTTGATTTCATAACCGGCATAGTGTAATATTTTAATGAAATATCTAATATACGAGTATCTAATACATATTTTATTTATAACTAAGTAAATGCACTTGTACATTTATAAAAACTTTTTTAATTAAGTAAAAACCCCTACGGCAGTGCATAGATAAGCCTCTATTACAATGTTTTGGTGTTGATTATATAAAATACTCACAGATTTTCACGCATGACAATGATTATTATAAAATTTATATAGATACATTTGTACATGATTATATATTTCTTACAACAAATATTTATTTATATAAATATGATATATACAGATAAATATGCAATACAAATGTACAAATTAAATTTTTTGTGAATTTAAGTATATCTTACATATGAGCATATATACTTATGCACATGTGAGTATAAATTCATTACAAAAAATATGATAAGTTCTTATTAATACTGGGGACTATAAATTACACTTGAAATGATTTGTACATTTGTTATCAAAACTTGAAATTGCATTTTTTACTGAAGATTCGAATTATTTATGATAGTTTGTGTTTTATATTTATACACATACTGTATATAGATGTATGTATATATATGTAATATCAAATACATATATATATATATTTCTGTAAATATATTTTATATATATTTATATTATGTGTAATAATAATATATATATATATAATATGTAAAATAAAATATATATATATTTCTGTAAATATATTTTATATATATTTCTATTATATATATTATTAATATAAGTATGAATATATTTATAAAAAATGAATTTTAAACTTTTCGATGCAATGCTTTGTCACT